CCACGGCCTGTGCTCTCCTCTCCCCTCACCCTTCCCTCCACTTCCACCCCTCTGGGGTTTTTCAAAAGTGGTCTCGTCTTCCGCGGAAGCCCACCCAACTTCCTTATTACCTCTGTGCTTCAGCTCTCTTGCGAATGTCCCTTCCTCCGGGAAGCCCTCCCTGACCCCTCCTGCCCCACCTGGCGTGAGTCAGACCTGCCGTTGTTTGGCACTCTCTCCAGACACATTTCCCCGAGTCTGCGGTCCTGTGCCTGGGCGGCTGCGCTGGTGCAAGCCTCTCCTGGCATCAGATCTCTGAACCCGCATTTGCCAGGTGGCCTCTCCCTGGCAGCTAGCACGTGCCTGGCATGTCACAGGTGCTTAGAAATGTTGGGCGAATAAGTGAACGACTCCCTGAGGAAGTGTAGCACGTCAGGGCCCACAGGGACTGGTGGCAGACGCGCTGTGGAGGAGGCATACAGAAGGACGCCATTGGTCCAATAGCCGTGGTCTATTTCCCAGCAGAGAAGTGTGGCAGCCCCTTTCCGCCGTGTCATCTGGAGGGCGTGGGCAGAATGGGCCTCGTCTGGCATCCCCCTGCCTGGGCAACACCTGCCCTCCTACCCCCATCTCTCCAAGATCATAAAGGATCCCTCTTGGGCTTCAGCGATGGCCCTGGACGTCACCCCAGCAGTGGCCTGGGGTCATCCATGTGTCTCAACAGGCCGTTGGATGTGCAGACCTGCAGTCTTGAGCGATGTTCCCAGGGTCAAGGGGGACCGCGGGTGGAGCCCCGAGGGGACGGGTGGATGGACGCTGGCTCTCAGGGCAGAATGGTGTGGGCAGAGGAGGCTGCTGGAGGGAGAGAGGCACTGAGCTCTACGGGATAGATGGGGGCCAGGCGTACCATTGGCCTGCGCAGGAGGGCCCGTGGCCGTCTGTTACCATCTTTCGGGAGAACGGTCCCACCATTTGCGAGTTCCAAAATCTCACATATGTCTACGAATTTTTTCATGCTCGGGAAGCTGGACGTGTTCTGTCTGCCTGCAGTTGGAAGGAGAATCACAAGGTCAGAGTCCCCAGCTCTGGCCGCCTGGTGCCATACCCGAGCCCGCGGCCACCGCAGCACCCTCCGAGCTGGCAGGACAGAGAAGCCAGGGTGCTGCCAGGGAGGCGGCAGAGGCGGGTGATGGGGAGTGTGCTTCTGTCCCCTCTGTTCTCCAAGGCAGGTGGGTGTCCCCAGTGTGGCCCCGAGGTGGGCACCACACAGGGCCACTTGGGGAGCCTTCTCTGCTCACAGGACCCCTCGGCCGGAGCCTGATGCCCCTCCCGCTGCACTCCTGGCCACGCCCTCCTCCACGGAGACTCCATGGGACCCCCCGACCTCTCCGATGGGTGTCCTGCAGGCCTTGGTGCCCGGAAGTGGGTTTGTGCCCCCCCCACCCCTCCCTGGACAGCACCTCCCCGCCCGCCCTCCCTTCGCCACCTCCCCCTGCTCCCCTGATCCTGGCCTCAGCCCGCGGGGGGGTCCGCTGCCTCCATGAAGAGGGTCAGTCCCCCTCCTGACGTGTTGCCCTCTGGGCTCCGCCCGTGCGCTGGCCGCCCACATTCAGCCCCGTGGCAGCCACACCAGAGACCTAGCCACCTGGTCCTCCCGTCCGGGCACCACACTCCGCCCACCCACCTGGCCACCCCATTTGCTCTGTGTGTCCCGGCCCTGTCCTCCTACCTCCCACTTCCTGCCAGCCCGCAGCGCGAGGGCCGTGACAGGAACGGACTGTGTCTTCGTGTCCCCCAGATTCATCCATCAGAGCCCCAGAGGGATCGTGTGAGGTCCCGGAGCCTTGGAAGGTGTGTGCGGTTCGCTGGGTGCTCATGATGGGGTCAGTGCCCATATAAGAAGAGGAAGACACCAGAGCCCTCTCCCCGACACTTGACATAGTGAGAAGGCAGCCATCTGCAAGCCAGGAAGGGGGGCCTCCCCGGAACAGCAGGGGCCACTGGGAAGGGTCAGGAGTCCCTCCCACACACCCAACCCCCTTCCAGGCCTAGGCCGTGGGCACTTGCATGCTTGTGGGCTCTGGGACTGTGGCCTGCCTGCCCGCCCTGGGGGCCGCTGTCCCTCCCATGCACTCAACCCTGGGACAGAGGAGCGGCATCTCCCGGGCCTGTGGCCGTGAAGCCAGGTCACGCCCACCCCCAGGACTTTCTCTCCAGGCCCCCGGCCTTCATACGCACAAGGATTCCTGAATATCGCCTTTTTCCTATCTTTCCGCAGAATTAACGTGTGTGACTGGCACCCCTGTGACCTAGGGGGGCAAGGCGGGAGCCCATTGTTGCCTCTGGTTTTCTGGAATTTTCCAGGTTGGAACAGGGCCAGACCCACAGCTTAAGGGAAACCCTCGGAACTCCCACTGTCTGCCGAGTTCTCCCGTGTACATGGTGGCCTCTCCCAAAATCAGGCCTTGAATTTTAGGGGCAGGATGGGTTTCGGGGCCGCAGTGATGGTCTGTCAGATGTGCAGATGATCGTGGGTCTGGCTTCCCACGCCCCCAGCGCCCTTTCCCCTCTTGATGGGGAGATGTCAGGGCTCCGTGAAGAGTGTGCTGGGCCCCCACCCCGGTCCACTCACCAGCTGAAGGCAAGGACCACGTTCAGCTGGCCAGGTTTGTGGACCTCCACCATCGATGCCCCCAGCTTCCTCCTGTCTCTGCCTGGCAAGAATCTCTGGTCCTCAGAAGCGACAGCCAGAATGTACCAGAACCCTGAAAACTGTGGAGAGCGTGCTGGCGAAGCTGCCCGTGCCAGGCTCCCAGC